TCTCTCTCTCTCTCCCGCTCTGTCTCTCTCTCTCTTTCTCTCTCTCTCACTCTCTGTCTCTCTCTCTCTTTCTCTCTCTCTCTATGTCATCGTTCGGACGCAGGCAGCGTTGCCGGGTCGCAGATGATAACGGCCATCACAACTTCCCATGCTTCCGTGATGACGCTGCGCTCTCCTGTTTTCTCTGTATTACTGTTATATCTGCGTTACGCGGTCCATCGCACCACTACAGCAGGTTAACTAGAGCGCTGACGATGATGATGACGGGATCAACGTCATCATCACCGCCAGCGTCATCATCATCATCGTCGTCGTCGCCATCAACGTCATCATCACCGTCAGCGTCATCATCGTCATCGTCGTCATCAACGTCGTCATCACCGTCAGCGTCATCATCGTCATCGTCATCGTCGTCGTCGTCATCAACGTCATCATCACCGTCAGCGTCATCATCGTCGTCGTCGTCATTTTTTTTATAACCTGAGATGGATCATCGACACCTTCGTAACGGTGGGCACACATACACGCACGCACATACGCGCCCGCAAGCACACGCGCACGCACGCACGGACACACATACACGCACGCACATACACGCCCGCAAGCACACGCGCACGCACGCACGGACACACATACACGCACGCACATACGCGCCCGCCCGCACATATACGCACAAGCACACGCACGCACACACACGACCGCCCGAACATACACACACACACACACACACACACACGCAGTGCGTGCGTGCGCGTGTGCTTGCGGGCGTGTATGTGCGTGCGTGTATGTGTGTCCGTGCGTGCGCGTGCGTGTTCGGGAAAGAAGATGAAGAAGGGGAAGATTCACTCATTGCTGTCTGGCTGCATTAGTTCCACGCGCCAGCATATCCCACCTGTACATCTCTACACACATTATTGCTCATTAACGGATGTGCGGCGTTGAATTATTGATGAAGCTCATCAGCCATCGATCAATCGATCGATCACTCCGCCAGCCGGCCATACGTTAATACAGACCAACACTAGACTCAGTCAACTCATGGTACTTTCACTCTAACTATGGCAGGCACTCTACCGCTAACACTAACCGTAACCCTATCCCTAACCCTAGCCCTAACTCTAACCCTAACCCTGACCTTTATCCCTAACCCTAACCCTAACCATAACCCTAACCCTAACCCTTACCACTAACCTTAACCCTAACCCTAACCCTAACCATAACCTTTATCCCTAACCCTAACCCTAACCCTAACCCTAAACCTAACCCCTACCCTTATCCCTTACCCCTAACCCTAACCCTAACCCTAACCCTAAACCTAACCCCTACCTCTAA